TTAAGCCCTTCTAGCAGGCTTTTCCCTCTGAGTKATTACCCTCTTCTGTAAACCTCTACCACCTTTGTCTTCTATTCTTTCCCATGAAAAGCAGACATTGAGAACCAACTCATATTAAGTTCTAGGTCAGGAAATATTTTGGTATCTATTTTTTGTTTGCTTTCCAACTCAGGAAAAGCAGAAATTATGCAGATTCACCAAAATCTGAAATTAACTTACTACTGACATTTCTGAAATTTAATGAGCTGAAAAATCCATTTCCTGTCSCATTGTTTGTTACTTTCTCAATAGATCTTGGCTCACTACCTCCTGTAACACACTATTATCTTACACACCATTTCTGCAAAAATAGCTTGACACTGACCTCCAAGTAGCCTTAACATCTATTCATCTGCAAGCATTGCACAACTCATGACAGTACAGTAAACATCTCCTAACCTACGTCACTGAGATCCCCAGTCTTGTTCTTCTGCATTTCATTGTGGGATTGCTGATAGCAATCTGTGTTGATTGTTGAGAAATGCAAGATATTTTGGACCAAAGACTCTCAAACGTATGAGAATCTCATTTACTTATCTTCAAGATGGTAAGCTGCCTGAGCTGCCTTTCCCTGTATAACTTTTCTTGTGCTACCAAAGCCTCTGTTGGTAGGATTCTCCTGAAGATTTTTTCCTGAACAATTAATTGAGGGCTGCTTTTATAATATGGGATAGACTAGCCACAGACATTTTGATCTGGGTCAGCTCTGGCTGAAAAAAATGAATGACAATACACCTGCCAATCAGATGGCCATCATATGATTCAACCTAATCAGAACCAGCTAATTACAGTTGTTTAATCTGAGACACCTATTAAACCATTTTCCATAAAACAGACAAATAGGGAGRGACTTAAAATGCACTTAAAGGCTTTTTATTATTATTTTAAGGCTCAGTTTCTTCAGCAGTATTAAAATTTTGAAGCATGTCCACAGGGCACAGTACAGTGCTGTGAAGAGACATTGRGAACTTAACTGAAAGCAATGCTGTACATTTTTCAAGATGCTAATTGAGGATTTGGTGTGGAGAAAAGACACCAGAGAGACAGAAAGGGATTCAAAAGCTGAAGGAATTTTTAAACATTTTGACATAAACTCTCCCAAAACATCAAGTTCTGCACCTTTATGCAGTATTTCTAAATTATCTGAAATGCATCAGCTTTGTCTTCCACATGTAGTTTAGTAACATACAAATGRTAGTTGTTAGAATTTTATGTAATTACCGGAAGATGTTCAGTAGATAATATCAGCTATGCCTTGTTATGCAGATTGCTTCACWGTAATCTAACACAGTCTTGGTACCATTACACTAATGTACAATTATTTATCATAGAAGAGAGTGGGCTATTCAACTAGAACAAAACTTCAGACTACTAAAAATAACAATAAAAAGTTTTGCGAAGTAAAATAGTAACTTCTATAGTTTTCTATTCCAGACCAAAATAGAGAAAAAAATACTTTCAAAGCAGGTATTTGTTAGACATTCTAGCAAGAGTGTTTTGTACATATCTTTTATTTCATCACCTGGTTTCAGCACACTAAAAGTAAGGAGTGCCAGAGTGTCCTTGAATTGAACTCCTGAATCAATGAGAGTTTTGTCATGCTGAGAATGGAAACTTCCAAGGAACTGGCTAAAATGCTACTAGTTTTACTACATGGCACTCTTTTCTCTGAGTCAGCTCCTGAAYATTTCACTGAGCCTGGTGGAACCAGAATTTCCAGTTTGACTAGGACAGCCCTAGAATATTCCACTATCCAGCAGATATGGTTTTGCTATTTTTCCACACCACATGAAAGAAACAGGATATTYGTACTCTCACCTTAAGCCCCTCGCATAGGAATGCTGGCTTTTGCAGCACGGTAGCAAGAGACAGGGACTCTGGCACAAGATTGTGATGTGATAAAAGTCTTATATTTTACTGCAAAACAAGATGAAAATAGTATCTCCTCCTTTGCATTAATTGTTGGTTAGTGTGAATGAGTCCTCAAAGCTTATGTTCAGTTAGGTAACCTAACACAGGCCCGACACAAGTGACAAAACGCATTCTTTCTTTTGTTCTAGTTTCTCTGGCTGTATATATATCCTGGAAAAAATAAAAATACTTTTCACTGGCAACAATAACTATAGGTAAAGTAGCATAAACAGGGAACAGAAGTTTCTCCCTAGGTGCCTGAGATAGCACCTGAGTTTTCTCACTGGAGGAAGAAACGATCAAATTGCTCTTCTTTTGACTGACAATGCTGGCTGTTCACCACCAAAAATTGTTGATTTTTTTTTTTAAAAGAAACATTTCTACTAACTTTAATAAGTTTTAGTAGAGTTAACTACCCTAAATTTCAACAGAGTTAACTAAATTCTACTCATTCAAGATAACCCCTCTCCAGTAGGAACTAGTAWACTTAATAAAAGAAGAAAAACAAGGACATGGTATGAAGGATGGCTAATGTTTTAGTTGGTTCATGGGAGTCCATCATGATGACAGAAAATTAACATTACAAGTATTTGACAGAATAAGATMGAAGTTGCCAGTTAGACTTCATTGAAATTACTTAACCACACAGTTCTTAAATACATACTTCCTTGACTTAGTACTTCTCAAGGTTGTCTTGGTTACTGAGATTGTAAACCTTTTGTCCAAGCCTACAGACGCCGAAAAAGAAGTCACTGCATGCCACCGTGTGGATATCACGAGAACATCAACATCTATTCTAAAAAGATGGATTAATTAAAAAAAAAAAAAAAAAAAAAAAAAAAAAAAAAANAAAAAAAAAAAACAAAAAACCAAAAAAAAACAAAACCAAAAAAGCGTGGGGAGGAGGGAGAAGAACACAAATGTGTATGTCAAAAAAACCAAAAAAAAACAAAACCAAAAAAGCGTGGGGAGGAGGGAGAAGAACACAAATGTGTATGTCATCGAATACAAATTTCAGGAGGAAACATGTTCCAGAAAACAGAGGGGTTTTGCTTCTGTTTTTTGTTCTTTAGTTAAAGTAAACAGGCAGTCTAATGGCCATGAGGTCATACCGTCAAAAGTTAATGGTTTGGCATTAGTTAAGCAACTAGGCAGAGACTTCAAGATTTTTATCTAAGGCAYTTCCATTAAAAATACAATTTGAAGCTTACTTTTTGTAACATTATTCTCTACGTGCTCAGAGACAGCAGAACTGCTAGTAGCCTACTTAGTRTATCTTCCACTTTTCCTTCTTACATATACATAATAACCACTCTTTTCCTCAGTTCCAGCTACACATACGGTGATTCTCTAAGACAGTCAAAGGTACTCAAATTGAAGTAATGAATTTAAATGTTAGCATGAAAAGGATGGKGGGGAATTGGGATAAGAGAAATAAAAGAAGAAAAGGATAATTTTGAGGCAAAATCACTTTTCAGGTTTTTTTGCCTTCTTATATAGAACAGCTTGTGTACACAACCTTCATGAACAATCACTGTTTTATAGTAGGGCATACAAKTCAGTTTCTCAGAGCAGTTCCCATTAAAAAAGTTATTTACTTGGAATACAGTTAAATACAAGCACAAGCCATTGCTGTTTACATGGCTTTTCCCCATTAAAAAGTAGTGAACCTAATTAGAGCTAAGTCCTGAAGTATTTTTATTACTTATATTAAACAGATGAAATTAGAAACTATGTTCTAGAAGGTGGAAAAGACTGGCAATTCACTTTCAGGGATTTTCCGGATGGTGTTTCTAGGTAACAGTTRCGTGTTTAAACACTAATATGCTTATGTGCATCATAGGGGTACTGAGTGAGACCCCAGAACTCAAACGGCCTGTTGTATCACTGATACAAAGAGACTGYTCTGCTGGCAGGCTGGCTGCCCTGTAATTTACCAAGATTATGGTCATCCTTCACAGTAATACTACTTTAACTCATGCAATCTCAAATTTATTTGAGCGGGATCAGGGCAATAAAAATCATCAAAATACATTAATGAGCTTCATCAACGTGAAGGGCAACTGGAGGCAGGAAATGAAGGAAGAGAAATGTTCCGGTACTCTTCATTTTCCTTTAWGTTAAATACCGTGGACAAAGGATGAGCATTTTGCTGGAAGATTTTTCCCAAARGAGGTCCCTGCACTACTGGGGATAACGTCAGAAAGGGAGTTGTGAGAATGGTAAAGCAAAAGTGAATAAAAATGGGTTGGATTCTTTTTTGTTTGGTTTGATTTTTTTTTTTTGTTTGGTTTTGGTTGTTTGGATTCTTGTTTTGATTCAAATAAGCAACTGCAGTTCGTTGGAGCATGTCACACAAAGACCTGTTCTCGGAGCTTTCCGGAAAATCCAGGGTTACCAAAGGAGCAGCAATCCTTATCTYTACGCGTGGGCACGAAGTACGAGTATGAGGTGCAGCCTTTAAGGTAAGAGGGTCAGGATGTGGCAGCTGGTGCACAACAGTCACAGATATCACCGCTCAGTTTCCATGGGAAGAAACTGCAGGACCGGCCAGACACAGGTGCCCTCGCAGCCCCCAGTGTGACTAAACCCCGGGCAGGACTRAAGGTCACGGCGGTGTCCGTGAGGAGCGACAGCGGCTCACAGCGCACCGGAAGGCGTGCAGGCCCCGCTCCGCCCACCCCGCTCCGCTCCGCCCCTCCCGGCCCAGCTCCGCCCCGCTCCGGGGGTGATCACTGCCCAGCTCCGCCCCGCTCCGGGGGTGATCGCTGCCCAGCTCCGCCCCGCTCCGGGGGTGATCGCTGCCCAGCTCCGCCCTGCTCCGGCCGGGATCTGCCCAGCTCCGCCCCGCTCCGGGGGTGATCGCTGCCCAGCTCCGCCCCTCCCGGCCGGAATCGCTGCCCAGCTCCGGCCGCCCCGCTCCGGCGAGGATCGCTGTCCAGCTCCGCCCCGCTCCGGCCGGAATCTGCCCAGCTCCGCCCCTCTCCGGGGGTGATCGCTGTCCAGCTCCGCCCCGCTCCGGCCGGGATCTCTGCCCAGCTCCGCCCCGCTCCGGCGGGGTCTGTAGTCCCCGGAGAGGGAGGGCACACTGGGCATGCGGCGCGGGCACGTCCATTCTGGAGGGTGGGCAGGAGTCACCGAAGCGTTGTGTGTGCATCGCAGGCCCGAACTCCCCGCCAGATTCCCCCCCTGTCGTTGGTAGCGCCCCAAGGCGGAGGGAGGCGGCGGTGAGCGCTGCAGCGGCGCCGTGGGCCCAGGTGCCGGCGCCTCCGCCCGGCGCCATGAGGCACCTGCCGTACTTCTGCCGCGGGGAGGTGGTGAAAGGCTTCGGCAGGGGCTCCAAGGAGCTGGGCATCCCCACCGGTGAGCGGGCACGGGTGGGGGCACCCTCCGGGAGCAGCACTGAGGCTGGGCCCGGCCGTGGGGCTGCGGGTCWGCCGGGTCCCGGGAGCGCTCCCGTTGGCCAGACGCGGGGTCGGGGTGTCCGCAGCCTGTCYGTCCCTGTTATGTGTCCCCAGCAGAGCCGTGCCGGGCTCCTGCCGAGCAGCCGTGCGGCAGCACCGTGACTAAGCTCGCCTGACCTCAGGAGCCGCCCGGCTGCCCTGCACAACTGCTCTATTGTCATGGCTTGGGCTTTGCTACAACGGCCCTGCCTTCTTCCTTATCGGCGTTTTCCTGACGCTTTTTCACTCCACTCCTACACTGCTTAGAGTCTTGCACCCTCCTTTGTATTATTCCCTGGAACCCAATCCCTAAATAGGTTTTGTTTCACCTAGTGATTGTCATGATGTACAGGTTGTAGATAAGTGTCTACATCCTGTACATCACATTCACGGTGCGGTGGTGTGGCAGCTTGGGAAGATACTCCTTCACATAAAACTCGAATTGGAGCCAGAAAGGGAGTAGGCACTGGGAATCGCTGCAAGAAAGAAAGTTTAAAGGGATAAAGCAGAGGTTGAAACAGAGCAGGTGGGCTTGGCCTACAGAGAATATATTTCAGTATTGCCCATCTCTGTTTCAGTTTTCTCAAGGCAGACAGATGAATAGTGCAAGAAAATTTGAAATTCCTTAAACACACGCTGAGGTCAACACTCACACTGCACTACTTTTAACAGACAAGAAACTTTATAAGGTCACCCTTGTGCTGGATTTTTGATGTTTGTTCCTGACAGTGCTTCACATTTTTCTCTTGATAGTTTGTAAATGGTGTGCTGATATTGGGAAATAGGGAAAAGAAGCTGTTATTATCTGTCAGCTTGATACAAATTTGGTAGCCATCTAYTTTTTCATATCAATTTGGTGTCTTTCCTGAAGAGATCTATTCAGCTGGGAAATAGTGGTGGGATAGTGATTTTCAGAGGTTAAATTCAGTCAAAATGAAATTTTATTTTACTKTAAATATGTAGTTTTCAAAGAAAATTTCAAGTCCATTTCAGATGCCTCTGAAAGGGAAGTTGTATAAAATTGACAGATGAGAAAATAATTATTGCATTTGCTTCCACATATTTTACTTCATCAGTAAGTATTTTACTAATAAATAGTTCTGAGATGCTGTTTTATAGTGCAGAAGAAAGTTGATTTTTTTCTGCTCTCATCTTTCACCATATTAAAGCTCTGTTAATTTTCCTAAGAATTAAATGTGTTCTGCATGTATAAATGACATATTTAATAATTATTATTGCAGAAGAGAAAGAGAACTATAAAATACCTTTGTGTGTGTGTGTGTGTAGGAGATGTAATAACTCTGGTAATGCCACAGTGACTGAATTTTGTGAAGCTGTTTTATATTTTGCCAAATGGTATATTTCATTATTCTTATCACCACTGTTATATTTGTAATTAGTATGTATACAGAGTTTGGCTTTTAACTGTTTAAAGATCCTGTTATAGCCTTGAATTCYACAAAGTCACTCACATTTTACACTTTATAAAACTTTTACAGCTAACTTTTCTGAGCAAGTAGTTGAAAGCTTTCCATCTGACATCTCTACTGGTATATACTACGGGTGGGCCTGTGTTGGAAATGGAGATGTGCATAAAATGGTTTTGAGCATAGGATGGAATCCCTTCTACAAGAATATTAAGAAGTCAGTGGTAAGAATTCTGTTTTTTGTGGGATTTTTTATTGTAGTAGAAGACTGGATTAATTTTAATAAGATACGCAGAATTTGGTTTATGAATGATATCTAGGAATTTGTTTGCCATTAGAAATGCGTTTGTTATCTGAACAAGGTTTGTATTCTGAAGAAAACGTACTGTCTGTAATCAGAGAGTATACAGATGTAGTTGAATAAAGTTTATTTCATTCCTTTTATTCCATCATTTCTTAAAATTAAAATATAACTACTTGAAATGGTGGTTGCTTGACTTGCTGATAGCAAATTAAGCAAAAGCTTTGTAAATGCATTGAATTTACTGGTTATGAGAGCCCTAGCATAAGATAGATCTCCTCTGTTCTCAGCATTTCAGGTCGGASCTGTTGGGACAGCTTTGTTTGTAAAGATTTTTTAAATTAATTCTTCTCTTAARTGATGGAATCCATACATGAGGTGCAGTGGTTTAATATACTGATTAAATATTTGAAGGTGTATAAGGATGTAAGCATGGAGAAATTAAAATCCTGAGTCATGACAGCTGTGTTTTTCTTGCTGTCCTGAGGCTTGAGGACCTCTCTTTTATTTGCTATAAACAATTTTATTTGGACACAAATCTSTGCTTCTAAGTGTTTGTCATAGGCAAATGTATACTTTTAAAAATTTTTGCGGGTAACTGCTCTGAGCAAGTCGTTAAAAGCTTCCCAAATGATAGCTCTGCTGGTATATGCTATGGGTTGGTCTATTTTGGAGAGGAAGATGTGCATAAAATGGTTTTGAGTGTAAGGTAGAACCATGTCTTAGTCTGGACTTTTTCTTCAGTTTTATCATTCAGTTCTGGGTATAAGAGCCTTCCTCCCTTGGAATATAGTTGTAGAAGCCTTCCTTGAGCCAACTACTTCTRTCAAAATCTTTATTTTAAATATATTTAAATGCATCTACTTGTGGATGAAACATTAACATTTCCTGCCTGGGAAATCTTACCTCTGGGAAGTTTTATAGCATTTCTCCTGGTGTCTGGGGGTGTGTTGTTTTTTTGTTTGGTTTTTTTTTTTTTTGTGTGGGGTGTTTGTTTTTTTTTGGGTGTCTTTTTTTGTTGTTGCTTTTGCTGGCGTTTTTTGTTGTTGCTTTTTTTGGGGTTTTGTGGTTGGTTGATTGTTTTTTTTATTTTTTGTCCGTTTGTTGTGGGTTGTTTTGGCTTCAGTTTTTAAATTTTTTTTGTTTTTATTTTTGTTGATTTTTGTTTGTTTGGGAATTTTGGTTTTTTCCTTGTTAGGTTTGGGTTTTGTTTTTTGGTTTTTTTTCTTTTTTTCTTTATATTTTTTAAGGGAATAATTTTTTAAAATTTATGCAAAGTGCATAAATTGCTACCTCCTAATATAAACGAAGGCCCTAACCTCTTAATTTTGGATTATACATGCTATACTAAATGTCCCTTTTATTTTTATCCATTGAGGAAAATTTGACTGTTAGATATTGGGCCTGCCTGCTTCCATAGAGGGAAGTAAGCTCCTAAGTTCATAATAATTGTCTGCTTATTTCTGTTCCTTTAGGAAACACACATTATCCACACCTTCAAAGAAGACTTCTATGGAGAAATTCTTAGTATTGTCATAGTTGGATACATTCGRCCAGAAAAAAACTTTGATTCCTTAGGTCAGTATTGGAGGTCTCCCTCAATCTGGTTTCTTTTTTGTCTTACTCATGCTAGTTTTGTGTTTTCACTGTATGTCCCTCCATTAAGAGAATGTTTTATCTGCTAACCTTTGAAATTTCAGTAAAATGTTTTTGTAATTTAAAAGTGAAAAAACCATATCCCCATATCTTCCAATGTATAACACTAAAACTCTGCATTTTTCTTTCACTTGTCTGAGGAGTAATTTTAAAATCATGGGCCTGTCAATAAAGTCAAGTGTACTAATTTCTTTTTAAAATGCAGTTTTGTTAGTGTTTAAACAAAACTGCTRAAGTGTCTTTTGAGAAGAGTGTGGTGCTGCTAATGGGTAAAAATGAAACTTTAGCATGTTTAAAAGAAGAGATTTCAAAGGCAAAGAATTCTGCCTTTCAAACCTCATAGTTATATTCTACTTCTTTGATTGTTGGATATTTTGTGGTTCCTTATTTTCATTTGTTACTGTGTTCAGAATACCAACCAGCTTTTAAATATCCTTATTCTTYCCTTTTCAGATGCGCTCATTTCGGCAATTCAGGAAGACATTGAAGAAGCAAAAAGACAGCTAGACCTACCGGAACATCTTAAACTCAAAGAAGATAACTTTTTTCACCTGCCAGAAGGCAAAATAGTAAACAACCACTGAGAAAACCCATACCGCTTTTTTTTTTTTTTTGCCTGTTTTTAAAAAAAAATTATTTTTTCCCATGTCATGGAGCTTTTATATTTGCACAGCTGTCAGAGAGATAGGATCTCTTTGTCTTGTGTCTGCTGAGTAACTGAGATTGTATCCAATCATACAAGATTATTTCCGTTTTCTTTGGTTAAGTCATCATTAGACCAGTCATACAAAAGGACTGGAAGGCTCTACTATGCCTTTATAGATAAATCATGTATCCTAAAGTTACCAGATTTTAAGAGACCTGAGCACTCGCAGAACATGACCAAAGTTAATTGTAACTGTAAGGTATGGATAACTGATTTAATGATGAATGTCTGTTTTTAATGTACTGAATGTTCTTCCAGCTTTTCCTAATTTTATGTCATTCTTAGGTCTGGATTTTAGCTTAGAAAACGATGATCACTCATGGAAATGATGAAATTGACTCAGAAGATTTCTGTGGTTAGATATGTTTAGATAGCAATGGCAAGATTAATTCTCTATAGTTCTTATTTTTATATACTACACAGCTGTTATGGTTGAAGCTGTTACTTTAATTGAATTATTTATTTTATTTGAAATGGAAGAGAAATCACTGTTGCTCATTGTGTTGCTAGAATCTGAGCTATACTTCTTCACAGTTGACTGAACATATGACTTATGTTTAATTGTGAAGAAGTGTTTCACTTGATTTCAGAAAATGAGTAAAAGTGTGAAAGTTGATAAACTTTAAGGTTTAGATGCAAAAGATGCAGAAACAATAAAACAAGACTTCTGCTCATTGGGCCTTAAAGGAAAATAGGTAGTGAGAGACAAATCTGCATTTTATATGCTGCTGGTGTTTTTCATAGGAAAATCTTGAAGTTATTCACTGCACTGGCTGTAAGATATCTGACTTCAAGGCTGGCATTATTGTAAGGCACAGCAAAATATTGTCAATACTCTGCACTAAGTGCAGGTAAGAGCCAAAGTTTTGGCAGACCAAGTAGATGAATACACAAATAAGTTTTTGGGGATTTGTTGCATGATATTTTAACACTGTAATGAATATTTTTTATACATAGTTGCAGACAGTCCTACTCTGAAATGTGGGGATACGAGTGAGGGTTGGACTAGATGCTCTCTGAAGATCCCTTACAACCCTAACTATTCTGTGGCAGATAAGTGGTAGGAGTACTGTGAGTGTTGATGGTAATTTGAAAAAWACTTCTCAAAGAATGTAATGTGTGATTCAGTATCTGTTCTTCCTCTGATAAATTTTTCTRTCCCTTGGTGAATGGAACCAGATTTGCTGCAGTAACTGTCACATTCATAAATTTTTGACATCACCCTGTGGTATGTCTGGGGCATACTCTGAAATTCAAAGTWCTTCTCTGAATATGTCTCAACTATAGTTCTCTGCCTGAATGACTATGTTCAACATGGAACGCACAATTTCTGTAGTGCAATTCGATGAATTTACTCATTATCCTATCCTCCTATCCTATTAGAATACTTTTCACTCTAGAGTTTAATAGAGTTTTAACCAGGTAGCTGTTTGGATCYTTGTGTCAAGTGCTGTCAGGATGATGGTTTCACTTCATATTGTTTTAAATTTTAGGCAGTATCATGGGCTGTTATTAAGGAAGAGGCCTTGAGGAAAGCAAGGGCTTGTGTTTGCTCTTTAGGACTTCAGGAGAAAACTTGATTTAATTTAATGAATTGTTCTCCAGTGCTTTTGATAGCAGAGGCAGATTCAATACAATTGGGAGAGAGTGACATGGGACWATATGCTTTTTTTTAAAGGATAAGTGAAATAATTTAGTGGGCTTTTACTATATAATGTGTTGGAAGTTATATTTCTAAAAGGACTGTAAAAGAATTGCCTTTCAAGATTGATGATTGGAATTTTAAAATTGAGAGATGGAGATTTTTCTTTGCAAAGAGTTTATGCAGTCTTCAGATCATAGTAATGTTAAAATAATATATTTTATTACTCCTTTTAGAGAATAAACAAAAGCCATCCTAGTCAACAGAATAGGCTGTCAACAGTAGATTTTTTTGTTGTTCATCATGGTACTGTAGCTGAACACTGATAGCTGCCTTTAAAATTGTTTTTTGCCAGTAACGTCATGGGTCTGTTGTAGAAACTATGGTGCCTTAAGCTGGTTGTCTGAATAATACTTTTCTGTATCTGCTAATAAATGCCACTATCAGAAATTCAGTTCACCATTTGGTTACATAACYGCTGTGCTATGGACAGAGAACAGTAACAAAGAGAAAACTTCCAAGACTTAGTTTGCTCTCAAATCCTAGCTGAGGTATGATATATGGATACACTGAGCTAAGAAACTGCTTGTTATGTGTTTGTCTTCAAATTAGAGAAAACGTTAGTACCTCCRTTTGGCTGAGTGTACCTATCCATATTAATTAGCAGAAAATGGTATACATCACTCTTTAAACTCCATACATAATTCCTGGCACAGTGTAAACTTTTCAAAGGGTTGTATTTTTTTGTATTGTGTACAAGTAGATGTATTTTGGTTGATGCTGCTGCACTGTACCGTTATTAAAGGAACTGTAATTGACAAAGTTATCCTTGTCTTGGATTTCCTTTCCTTTGCCACTMCTAGCAATGTTAGTTGTCTCAGTTCTATGCAAAACTTTGTGGGGGTGACTTTAGCCTAAAATGCTAAACTGACAGAAAAGAGTACTGAGATATTGTTCAACCATCCTAGTGTATCTGAAAACTGATCCCATTCCAGGTACTTCAGTGCTTCAGTCTGAGCTTGTTGGAGTTAGAGCCTCAGAATTCACGGCCTGAAACCCTTGAATGGTTTGTCTCCACACTTGCTTTCAGAACTTAAAAAAGCTGCATTTTCCTTTTAGGATTCAGATAGAGGAAGTTGCATTCTTTTATGTTATCTTTCAGCTGTTAAAAATTCATCAAAGATTTATCTACTGCTCCGAAGGAGGGTCACACTGGTGTCTTAAAACACATGATGGCTCTGGCCTCCTTTGGGAAAAAATTTGTCATACTTTCACTCTTGGAAACTGYTCATATGCAGACCTTTATCTGCATGGCATCACTAAAGTTACACCAAGAAAGAATGTAACGTGGTGGTACATGTGGTAAGGGTTGGCACATGCTGTGGATTCTTTAGTGCAGACTGGTGTCTGTCACAAAATAAGCTTTTAGCAAGAGGGTCCAGGCTGGAGATAAAGATTTGAGAGTGAGAAATCGCAAGCACCTGGATTGTTCCAGACTTTTCTTTAGTAGTCARCACTATAACTTCCAAGCATCTTGATTTTTCTACTAGCTTCTGTAATCAAATGAAAATTAAAGCCACCTACCAGTGTGCTTTCCCTCACTTCCTTTCTAGCAAAACTCAAGAACAGAGACATGGAAAAGGAAAATATTTCCTCTGTGTATCCAGTCCATTGAATAGAGGAGAAATAAAGGACACTGGTAGCTTACATTTTCGTTTTAAATCAAATTACTGGATTATATTATTTTGAAAGAGCRTTTTTGAAAGAGTAAAGAGAGGTAGTTTTCAGAAGGAAAAAAAAAGCAGCTTACTAAGTAAGGCCTTAGGACTTGGGAAACTCGATGGATAAATGAGAATAGCAAAGAGTTACAGGATGAGGAAAGAAGCAGACAGAAAGATCTTGAGGTGAAGCAAAGCTTGTGAAGCATTTTGAGTTTCTAAATTTGTTTCCTTCAGCACATCTTTCTTGGYTGGTGGCCGCAAGAAGGCAGGAGCATACATGCATTGGCTTTGTGGGAACAGGATTTGTGGATTTGAACAGATGTGGGTTTGAATTTCTCTGGTATTTTTTCTTAAATCCTTTTGTGCTGAGTTCTCTGCAAGTTTATTACTGGTTTCCTTGGTTGTACAGTCTTCTCCAGAGTTGTCTGTGACTAATAATTCCCACTGAGTCAGTAGCTCTTAGACAAATAGCCTTGTATAAAGATKATGACTCTTCCTGGTCTCCCTGTGTACACTTGGCAGGCAGTTGGAATTAAGAACACCATAAAAACAATRTAGTTCTTTAGGTGTCTTCTCTAGGCATCCTTGGCTAGTGTTTTTAAAATGCCACTTTAAAATCCCACAATTCTCTCTTCCTCATACTGTGTTCTTCTAGTATTATCCATCAGTTGGTTGTTGCTGCATTTTCACCCTACTCATACACATAAAATCATGCCTTCTTCCTGCTGCTTCTCAGGACCCAGCTTCTCATTTGAGCTGTCATTTGAATCCTGTGAAAGGCACTGCTTTTATGGATGGAAACAACATACTAATACTGCTTCTCTCCTCCCAATGAAAAATTCAAAACATGGTTGTAATATTATGCCCAAGCCACAGGAAGACCCCTGGAAAAGAAGGCATTTCAAAAGAATTCAGAGCTCCTTATTTTTTGAATGCACACTCAGAAATATAGTTTTGGCTCAGGCTTACTTGCACTAATGCAGACCAAATTATTTTAAGAAAGTTTATATTTTTACAATGCTTATTTATTATTTTGGTATTGTTTTAGTGTTTGGCGTTTTTTTAAGTATTGAGAGTTGATATATACAAAATGTTCAGTAAAAAGATGAGAACTCAAGCAAAATGCTTTTCTGCAAACCTTTKTTGAAGGGATTGATTTAAGGCTGCTCAAGTGTAACTTGTATTAAATCTTTGAAATTTGGTATGAGTCAGGTTATAGGAACCACTAACAATCATAAAGCACAATGTTAATCCAAACAAAGGTAGAATAGCAGGTTATCACAAATTTTTCAGTATCACCATTTGAATTGATTTTTAATTCTTTTTGTTTCTTCCTTTGTTTTCCCTGGAGAACTCCTCCAGGTAAGAACTTGAAGTGATGCATCAGATGTGCCTTTTCAAATACCTTGTTATTATATTACTTTTGATAAATATTGATCCTTATTTTGACCTTTTTAATCTTCATATGATTTTGTATTCCTCTTAGCTACTGAAGGTGCAATGATTAAATCCAAAGTGGGTTCTACAGAACTTGTTCAACATAATAGGGTAATCATGAGGTCTTTAGGAGTAACTAACCCCCAAAAAATCCATTTAAGTATTATGGCATAAAAATTAGACTTTTTCACATTTAATTCCTTTGTAAAGATAAGTCATTGGTGATTAAGAGCTCTAGAGCTGTTGTCCAGAATGTGGAGGACTTCATATTCTAAGTCAGTCTATTCTCTTAGACATGTGACCATATTGCCAGCAAATAGTAGCACTTCCATGCACATTTGTGTAAAGACTTTGTTCTTCACAGCAAGTGGCTGTAAAGAGCGTTCTCTTCTGTAATATTATGTATTTTGGCAATGCTAAAATAATCACTTAGTTGTGTCCTTTTAAAGTAAACTACCCACTGAGTGCTATTTATTCCCTTTGGCATAGTTTGAAAGTGCAGAGGCACTTTAAAAGAAAAATGGAAAATTTCTGTTATAAATTCTCTGCTTATTTCAGTTCTGTAGCCCCAGAAGATTGCAAAGACAAAAGAAGTCATTTTTTCCAGTGTACTTCTGGACTGTATTTCTCTATGCAATAAATCCAAATTCTCTGTGTGTGATGAAACACTATTTAAACCACTGGAATTAGATTAACTAGGTGTTGATGATGTATAGAATATTTCCTATACTTTTCATACTAACAATGCATACTGTGGAGGTACTTGGTGGAAGAGGAGGTCATGTCACAAATGTAGTTCCAGTGGGAAACATACTACGGATTGTGCAGAAAAACATCAGCTTTGAGGAACACAGATGCCCCAGATGATACCAACAAGTCTTGGTTCAAAAGCTACTTTTTTATTAATTGCTTTCCAACTATAATTCCATTTTAATAAACTACTGGTACCCATCCCAGTGACATCAGATAAATAAGCCCATCTTGTTTACCTGCATGCTTTGGTAGTGATTGGCATGGTTCTCGGAAAAAGGATAGGGCGCACTTTGGATGGGTGGTTGTAGTATTTACAATGTACACACATACATGTTGGCAAAGGATTTGCTCTCAAAAGAGTGGACAGAAGTATATTCTCTTAAGCAGCTTGCATCTAAAAGCCTACAAAACAGTTAGATAAAGCTTTAGAAAAACTGCTTTTAGAAACCATGCCCTTCTTGTGACCTGTGCTGGCAGAAATCCTGAGCTCAGCATGCTAGGTAAGAAATAGAATGGAGTAATTTTGTAAGAAAGGCAGCAGAGCAGAAAATCTGTAAAGTAGTAAGGTTTTCTCTAAAAGAATAACTTCTGTCCTATTCACACTCGTATTCCTTGTCCTCCAGAACTCCATTTTGAAATCTATATTGAACTGTCGCCATCCTATCCCATATATGCCATATATTCATCTTCAGTCTCCATCAATGTTCTTACTGATCTTGCTTATGTGGGAAGGAAAGCCTCTCATATGCTCCTTCATTGACAGCTGTGGCTTTGCCTTGCTTTATTCTCCAGATGAATATAATGGTTCCAACTAAAAGGAAAAGTCAAATCACCTGTTAAGAAAGTAAGTGGTTTGGATTTTGCTCTCTGGTCTTAGTATGAATCATAATGCACAGTCATCTGATAACAGCAATCAAAAAGCAGAAATTATGTGAGGTCAAGTAGAAGGGGTCTTTGTTTTAAAGGGCCTGGTTGAAATGTAGGTTAGAGTACAATTTTTAATGTGTTGGAGTTACTGCCTTACCCTTCCAATTACCACAGCTGGACCCTTGTAGCTGTGATAGTGTAAGGCTAAAGAAAAGTGGGTGATAGAACAGCTATAGGGTTTTTTATTAGATTTTGAATAGTCAGAAGCAGAGAAGCTAATAGCGACACAAACACAACTTCTAACCTTAGGCTGGAAACACAAAACACTCAGAAATATTTTTAATTTTGCTATCTAGAAAACATTGAAGACTGGCTGTGTGACCCGAGCCTGCTTTTCCCAATTGAATCAGTTTGGTTTAATCACATTTTTTCATTCCACACATTTCTATGCAAGATGCTGGAGCATTTCAAAGCCAATGAGGTGATTTTAATATGCTGATACAGATTGCTATCCATTGAAATAGGTACTTTCTAATCAACTATTTTGTGAAAAGCATGAGCCTTTGAAAAAATGTGAGAGAAGGTGACATGTCCTGAATCAACTGTGGGTTCTGATAGTTTACCCTGCCTACTCTGGTGACAGAGCAGAGGCAGTAGTGTGCAGTGTGCCTTCAGCTCAGCAACTCATTTTACTCTTTTCTGCTTTTCATTTCTGCTAGTCAGACAAAGCCCTTAAATGCCAGTACTTCTCTTCAGCGAGGTCATACCTTGGGATTTTTGCTACAGTCAGAGCAATCTGGACTGTCTGCCAGTTTGAAGTCACCACAGCAGGGTGGGCAGCATTGTTCTTCACTGCACAGTGGCATGTTAGCTGGGCATAAGAGAGGAGCAAAAATAAGAATATTAAAAGATACCTTTACAGGAATGTTCTCCATTGTTCACATTGTGTTCAGTAGTTAAAAGTTTGGTGTATAAACCATAGGTGAAAATGCCTCCAAATTGACACCTCTTATCCTGGTGTCTCCTGGACTTTGTATTCATCTATAAAACTGTGAGCTGCA